CAGTTATGAACTTTTTCACGGTGCTAAATAATGCACACGAAAGTGCTCAGCCAGTCAGGGGTTAAGGCAAAGGGGGGAACAGCAGTTCTTCATTTACTCCTCCAGTGCCGCCAGATGATGATGATGAATTTTGCATAAAATGCTTAAATACCTGCAATTTAACTTTTGTCGGGTGTCGTCCATCTTCCCCTGCCTCGCGGCTTAACCCTCTACATCCCTTTCCCATTTAACCCCAGGGGGAAAGGGGTCGAAAGGAGTCAGTCTCGTCCAGGACATTTCAATATGCAGCTCCGCGTGTTTCCTTTAATTTAAATTGACTTCTCTTGGGAAGGACACGGTGATTCCCAGCGGATTTTTTGGAGCTCGCCAGTCGGGTCAGAAACTAATCAAAAAGATATAAAAACTTTTTCATGTAGTGGGTAACAACTTGTTTGTGAAGATTTTAGAGGTGCTATTTGGGTAAGATGAGGAATATGGTCCTTTCATACTTTTATAATATTTAAAACAAGATGAGATTTAAACAACTAAATATTTATAAAAGTTTAATTCCTTGAATTTTATTTGATGAAGTACCACATTTAAGTACTGTTTCTAAACATTATATTGCTATGCTTTTTAAAAACTAAGCTATGCATTCCAATGTATAAATACAAAATTTTATAAAAACAAATGTTAAAAGATAACTCTTTTAATTAAACGAATAATGAAATTAATTTGTAATAACAAAATTATACTTCATGAGTTAATTAGTTTAAAATTGTTAAGATTTAAAAGAAGCTTGCAGTAATTACACAAAATTTCCCCATATTTGCAAGCTACTTGCTTTAAAGTTCAATATAATTTCAGAGCTGCACTTTTCACAACTGTCATTGCAATTGTGCATACAAGTACACATAATTAATTAAGAAGCTGACATATACCGCCTCCGGCAACCGGAATCCCCGCCATTGTCCTTTTCTTCGCGCAGTCATCATCATTCTTTCCCATCCTTTTGCTAACTGAAATGTCAAAAATGCAAGTGACAAGTGTGAAAAAAGGACGAGCTGAAGAAAAACAAAAGCCAAACGGGGACACACATGGAAAAGCGGGGTGGTGGTGGCTTTTCCGACTGCGGCTGGTAGGGGTTTCCATTTGCTGAGGGGCTGTATCCCTTATACCCATTGTCTGCTTGAAGACGCAGCGCGTTCGTGCAAAGCAAAATAAATTGAAATTTTAAAATGTATGAAATTAATTTTTGGCGTCGGTGACTGGGCTAAAAAGTTCTCTCCAACGCCTCAGATGATATCACATGATTATTTATCTTTTACGCACACTTACACATCGCCCCGGCACATATGCAAAGGACGTGGGTCCTGGCCGTGGCCGTGGTCCTTTTGCCACTTTCCAAGTCTTGTGTCCTGGGCCTGACACTTGCCAACACACTTTGTCAAGTTTTTAGTATGTTGTCAGCGATTTTCCACTCTCCCCTTATCACTTTGCCTTTTTGTCTTAGCCCTTTTAAGCCATTTGTCAAACACTTGGCATGACGTCATGTGTGGGTGTGGTCGAAAGGGGAGTTTTTGTGCAGATTTCTTAGGGTATTTACAGCTTCGATTTCGGGCGGCTAACTGTCTCTGGTGTTGTGCGAAAATTTACATATAGATTAGCAACAGCACAGGAACACGAACGGACACTTGATGTGAGCCTTCAATGCACTTTGTTCGGCCCTCGACCGATTTTGATGGCGATGATGATGTCTGCAATGCATAAGTGGAAATCATTAAGTGCCCGGTCGCATCTTGTAAACCGGTGCGTAATCCTGCAGACCCAACCAAACCGAACCACACACTCAAAAAAAATTAAATTTATTGTTTTTTTAGTTAAGAACATTTTGAATATAATGTTGATTTTTATTATATTACTAAAATAAATGAAGCAGCTTTTGTTTTATTATTTCATCGTTTTAACTTGTATAAAAAAATCCACATTTAGAATAATAATTTTTATTAAAAGCTATAGTTTTATACAATTTATAAAACTATTAAAGTTTCAGATTTTTTTTGAGTGCACGGTCAATTGTTTACAGAACAGGACTGGTAGCTCGGCATTGTTGCCATTTCCGTTCCGTTTCTCTCTCTGGAGCCTATTGTCCATGGGTTGGAAATCCCCTGACAACACTTTGGCCCTTTCACAATGTGCAAAAAGAAAATTTCTACGAGCAATCCTTGAACAATGCATGAAATAATTGCACGGGCCGGACTGCAAAACCAGGATGAGTGGTGAGGAGAGGAGTGGAAAGTCGAGGTCCTTGCAGGGAGACATAATGATGGTCCGCTGGATATTGGCCGATGATGGGCATTAAAACGCGTATGATGAGGCTTAAGTAGTTACACACACACACACACGGCGCACAATTGGGACTCTTTGGGTATGCGTCCTGGAAAAGGACTCGTTGGGGCTTAAGTGATGCTAACATATTGTCCATACATGCGTGTCCACTGGTTAGGGGAGAATTTCCTAAGAGATGATATTTCTTTGCTGTGATTGCTGAGACTGCATATTGCTAAATGAAAATCTGTATCAGAAATTATAAATAATGTTAGGGGAAGAGTAAAACGATTCACGGCTGATGGGCAAGGTGAATACGGAATTAATATATTAACATCTGTCATAAAATTCTGTAAGAAGAATGTATAAAGACATGGGTAAGGTTGAATAACTAGTGAGCTAACATGACTTGCTCTCAATTGAATTTATGACTGCTGTGCAGTATTGTCTATCAAAAGATTTTAAAAGATTTATTTACAAGAAATTATTAACTATTAAATCTGAAATGGTTTAATAATTTTGGTGTTTGGAATCATAGGCTAATATTGCCCTGTTCATTATTATCATGATTTTTATTTATTTAGATTTTTACTCAAATTTAATATGCATTTATAAAAATCTTGGAATGTTCTAAAACATTTTTTTAATAGACCCTCCTTCGCTTCAATAATTATTTTATATCAATCAAGCTCTTAATTTATTAGGCCCTTATCACTTCATTAGCTCAATTGCCACTGAAACCATAACTTTTTTGCTAGCTTTTACAGACCCTTTCAGTTGGGCAAATCGATATCCAGCGACCTTGAGCTTGGCATTTATATATATGAAGAGCACGTGCTGTCAACTGTGTCAAGAAAAGCTTACCCAGTGCCACCCACAATTTCTTCGGAGGAGCCCTGTGCTCCGTAAACGAATTTCATTGTCAAGGTCGCACGCACAAAAAGGGAGAGAAAAACATGAAAATGGGAGGAAACGCCGGCCGGCATGACCTTGGATCCAATTGAGTGAGCAAAAAAGCTTTTGCCGGTAGGATACTTGTGGAGCAGCACCCACATTTGGCGGCCCCTTGGCCTTGGCGATGGCCTTGAAACTTTGTTAGAGCTCCCTCAGCAAATATGTAACATAGGGGGAGGAAATAAGCTCAATTGGCATTCTGCTTCCTGCTCCCTAGAAATCTTTTTCTAAAATGTTAAAGTGCTTCAGCTAAAGTGACATTTATTGAGTATGGAAGACAGACAAGTAGAAGAAAAAGGGGCTTAACATATAAATATTTAAATGTGAATTATTGAACATTGAATTTTAGATTTAAAAAAAACTACAACGCATAAAATTGTTTTAATTATTAAGGGAAGTTACAAATAACTAAAAAGGCACATTTATCAAAACACCGCATAAAATTATGCTTTTATTTATAAATCATGGTCTTTTTCGAGCCATAAATTGTATTTAAAAAGAATATTTTTCTCGTAACTTTTTCCTTTACCCCTTTACCTCCACCACTGTTTTCCTTACTTTGCAACTATACAGGAACTGCTTATCATAATGGATGAGCTGCAGCTTACGGTGGAAAGGGAGTAGGGGAGCTAGGAACAAACACTCTCCAAGGTTAAAATTGTCGTCAGCGCAAAATGTTTGCGGGAGCTGGAAATGATTTAAATTGAAGGTCAACCCATTTGGGTGGCCTTTCGGTTGGTCAAGTTTAAGGTTCCAAATGGGGGGAAACTTCAAGGACTATTTCACAGGGGCTTAACTTTAAGGATTTGGCTTCTATGGGTTTTTCAGTTGAAGGAGGTTTATTTTGAATGCAGGTTACTAGTTGAATGTTTGTCTAAGTTGAAGGAGACTCTCTGTTAAATGTATTTACGTGCTGTTCCCAATTTAACATTGAGTTAATTTAATTTACCAATAACACTAAATTAAGATATTAGATTTAATTTTAAAACTATCTTAGCAGTATTTAATTATTAGAATTAATAAGTATTTTTGTATTTAATATATATGTTTAATTACTGGTTAAATTCATAATATATTATATTCATAAAAATATATAGTTTTCACAAATCAGTTTCTATGCAAACGAAAAATCCCTAACAAACAATTGTTGATTCATCCGCTGAGAAACCCATAGGAAAGTATATTCGAAACTAAATTCGAGTTTCGAAAAAATGAAACTGTGGCCAAATTTCCCCTTAAAATTGCTAGACTCAGCTAGGCCAAGTAAACCAAACATAACCCCTAAAATTCGAACTCTATGCGTATCCGCCCCTCGCAAAGCCAACTCACAAAGAGCTTACGTATGACGTTATAGTGCTACGTTTAACGTTTTTCCCCAATTACTCTCTCATTTTCCGACTCTCTCTCAGTTTCTCAGCCCTTTTCCCTCCCCCTTTTTTGGTGGCAAAGTAAAGGTAACAAAGGCAGCCGTGTTTTTGGGGTGGTAAACTGGCGGTGGTGGTGGTGGCACTTTGTTGGTGGTGTGAGTCCCTGTGGTTGGTGGTTCAATTGGTTGGTTGTTGGCATAAACAAAGCACACACACAGTATACACACACACATTTCCTGGGGGGTGGTGGAAATTGGGAGGGTGACATTCACCGCGAGAGAGAAAACCCGCTTCCTATACAAAAACAGAGAGAGAGAGCTATTTTATAAATGTGACTGCAGCAAGGATATTTACAGTCAGTCCACGCTGAAACCTCGAGCAGAGAACATTGAATAACAAGCGGAAGCGAAAAGCGCACAGCCAGAAAAGTTCGTCAAAAAGCGACAAGTTTTCCTCGTACGTTTTCCCGCCAAATGAGTCAGAAAAATTTTCCAAGTGCTTGAAACGAAAAAATAAGACTTGAAATAACTTAAAAGTGCAAGCAGTGAATATAATCAAATATTCCGGGAGACTAAAAACAAAAACTTTAAAAATATTTACACTGTTCAAGTTAAATATTTTTTTATAAAATTTATAAAAAATTTTATTTTGTACAACATCAAATACCGCCATGGCCATTGCATATTTCATACCCGACCAGGCCCAATTGCTGGCCCGAAGCAATCAGCAGCATGGCCAGCAAACTGCAACGAATCTAAGGACAACTGCAACACCTGCTGCACCACCGCAGCAACAGCATCAGTCGCAACAGCAACAGCAGCAACATCGTCCTCAATTCCGTGCCAATATTTCCGTGCCTCTGGGAAGTCAACAGGGATCGATGACAATGTCGGAGTTTGGATGCTGGGATCTCCTGGCGCAGATCTTCTGCTACGCTCTGAGGATCTACAGCTACAATTCCAGCCAGCGACGACCGACGGTCATACAGATATCCTTCGAAATCAGCAGCGGCAGTCAGAATAACGAAGATGACGATGTGACCGATGCCAACTCCAAGGAAAATTAAATTCCATTTTTCATCCGGGTGGAGAGAAAATCTTCGTGGTTTTCTGGGAAAAGGCAGGCTCAATCAAAGCGCATTGTGATTTCTTTTTTGGGTATGGACACATGAGTAGGAAGGAGTTTTGTAAAAAATGGGATATTTCCACAACAAAATAAGAAGAATATTTTTAAACTATTTTTGAGAAAGAGAGAGAAAAATTCAAAATTTGTCATCGATTTGCTTAAAGTGATATTGATTGTTTGTTACTTTTTTGGGTGTCAAATTTTCCGATTTCAGTTCGAAGAAAACGTTTTTTTTGCAAGCAAAGGTTTCCCGGTTGGTTCAAATACATTATTACCATACATCATTTTGATAGCAGCAGCAAATAAATACTTAAAATGTGTATAATTATCATAAACCTAATTAGTGTCTATACATATGAGTAAAACCACAAGTATCGTATTCAACTGAAAACTAATTGTCAAATTTTTGCATTTCAACTACTTACATATATAAATCCTAAACTAGTAAATACAGAACTACAATACAGAACCAACAAACAAACAAAGATGCAACCGCAGCAACAAGAACAACAAAAGACAACAACTCAATTGTACAAAATAGATTTTAAGCAAACAGCAAATTTTATATGTTTACAAAAAAAAGAAAATATAAATAAAAAATGTCTACAAAATAGCTACAGAACATAAAAAATAAAAAACCGTCGAACAGAAAAAACAAATTGTTATAAAAAATGAAATAAAACAACAACATTTAAGCAATTTTGATACGAATAATCAAGAATAACAAAACTCGAAATGTATTTTACCATTTTTATTGATTTTAGCAAAATTCAAACCATATTATTTTCATTTTGGCATTGCAAATTAAACAAAAAAATATTTAAATTAATCAAATGTAAAAATTAGCATTTGTAAGCAATTGAAATTTTTATAAGACAAACAAGAAAAATAAATACAATTTTATAAAAAAAAGGAATTTTGGTTATTATTGTATCTTTTCAGAAATTCATACACTCGAAAATTTTGATGCCATATGTCGAAATGAATTTTAAAAAAATTGTAGTGCTACAATTTTTGGGAAAAAAAATAATGCTCATAAAATTATCATTTTGTTATGACATTTTTTTTCAACCAACTTATATATTATTTATTGTGGTTTGGTATAAATATGACAAAATAAATGTTTAATACCGTGGATTAACATATTTACTTTTAATAAATTCTGGACAACAAAGTAGAAAAAAACATTGATTTTTATACTCAGAAACTTTTTTGTAAACCCCTTACAAGATCCAACGACTTCAATGCGAAATCATTTTCATTCATATTTTTATTCCAACCACTAAAAAAACTAATCCCCTTGCTCCCGTGATCAGATAACCCTTTTGGGCAACGAAATGGCAAAGGACAATCATCCGGTCGTGAAAAGGAGGAGTAAGCAAACATTTAGCGATCTTTATCGTGAAAACCAATATGTCACCTTAAAAGGGAAAACCATTTTTGGTGAAAGGCAGAGAGACAGGCTGAGAATTTTCCCGTTGTGTCATGCCAGGCACACTCCGCCCAAAAGGGTTAAAAAGCAAAGGTTACGCTCAACCGCAGATCTCAGTCTGTGCCGCCAATGTCCAAGTCATCGGGGTCAAAAGGGAAAGAGGGTGTACCCTTTAGCGGTCGCGGCAACCCATTTAACCCCAGAAGTGAAGTGAAAAAAGTGTAACATCTGTGGCGGCAGCGAACGATCAGCGGCGCCTGATAAGTTCGCCAGTCAAATAATTATTATGCAAACATTTCGGGCCGCTAATTTGCCGCCTATCTTAATTTAAATCGCTCAAAAGCGCACTGGAACCAGCGCACAAAAAATTGTTTAATTGTCGTGACATGACAATAAGCGACCTGGAAATTAGGGTCTTTCTCTCTCCTTTTTTTTTTGCGTGTGGCTTGATTTTTTGGCGATGATAAGCAAGGGGGAAATTATAGGGTATGCAAATGCTCATATAGTGTCGGTCGCGTGTCCTGGATCGAGTTTTCATTCAGGTTTGTTTTTAATTCGAATTCCTTTTTAGCGCCTGCAATTATGGTTAAGAGAGAGACAGTTTATGATAACATATTTGTAGTTAATTTACTTAAATTAGTGCCACATATGTTAAACTGATCTGAGATAGCCAGGTGGGAACTGTAAATAGGTGGAAATTCCAACCATTAAATAAATAGGTGGAAAATAATTAAATATTAAGAATATCCTTTCAGAGTTTACCTTTAAGCCTAAAATCTTCAAAGCCGTATTACAATATTAGAAATAGTTGATATATCTTTCTAAAGTACTTAATAATGCTTATTTAATAAATGGTTATTTATTACCAGATCAAAGTAGGCATTAAAAAAAATAGGAAATTGACATATTTCCAAAAAGTAAACCAAATTCCAAAACATTTACGTATGAGCTAGATACCGGAATGGTGTCACAAAACATTAAAGCTCGATGATTTCCTTTTGGTAATTATTATGAACAACAACTCGGATAAAAACGATGTTATTTTGGACGAAAAGGAGGTTACGAAGGACAGTCAAGTTCTAAAACATATTGAAAACCATCAGAATATCTGCAAAGCAAACAACTCTTTGAGCTCACAATTTCGCATAGCCTCTGGACAAAAGGTAGAACAAAAAGGTCAAGCGATGAATTACCGAGATAACAGCTATGGAGAATGTGAGTTTTTATTAAATTTATATTTATAAATTTTTGTATTTATTCCGACATGCCATAGTCTAAAAAACTTACTTTAAACAATGTTAACTTAAATGAAATTTTTCTTAAATATTGATTTTAAACAAATTAATCCTAATCTGTAGCTAATCTTTCAGATCCAGTTTGCTCCCCGACTTGTAGTTGCCAATCGGCTGACACGAATGGAGAGGACGTGAATCCCAGAGTTGCCTGTGGAGAAGGTTGTTTGGACTCTGCATCCCCTTCGTCCAGTGAAATGTCCCAAAACGGGAGCTATTACAGCTATGGGCAATCTCTGCCAGAGCTTGATTCCGCATCGAATGACACCATTGTCAATAAACCCATGGCGGACTCTCCAGTTGGTTGTGTTAGTCCTGGCTGCTCCAAGGATTCCTGTACATATTGCCAGAAGGCAAATAGTGGCCTGGAGCAGCAGTTTAATCTTTGCCAGGAGCAGCAACATATGATGCCAGTGCCGATGGGCGTGGATCCAAGGACGGGATTACCCGTATTCTGTTACTCGACTCCAGTATGTTATTCAGGAAATGCGATGTACTCCATGCCAGACATGCAAATACCTCAAAGTCAACGAGGCGGTGGTGGCCACCATAACGAGGAAATCGGCAACCAATTTGAAGCTTCCTCATCATCTTTCTCAGAAAACTGTCACTCCTCTTACCAGAATCCAAGCGGTTTTGACATGGAAGCCTTAATGCAGAAGTACCAGCAAAGTGTTCAACAGTGTTACGCCACTGCCCAACAAAGTTTAATTTCCCAAAACACAGGATCTCAACAATCCTATGCAACTGGTCAATCTCAGCCGTATTTTAACAACTTTCCTCAAAGAACTCAACAACCTTATAGCCATCCCAAAGAAGGTATAAAACTAGTTCCTTTAAAATACCGCAAATTAAACTAACTATCTTTACACTTAAATTAGGTACTCAGCAAATGTTTGGAAGTTCAGACAATCAAGGTATTTCCGGTCCTCGATTTTTAATTTTTCAATATTTAAACTCCCAATTTTATTTTTGCAGCAACTCAACAATTTTATGAAAGCCCGAATCAAGGTAGCTTACGCTTGAGATTTGCCTCCAATATATTACATATTTTTTATTTTCAGAATATCAGCAGGTTTCAGCTAATCAACAGGCTTTTACTTTCCCGTTTGGGTCTCAGCAATATTATGCCAACTCTAGTCTAGGTATTTAAAATTTATATGTTAGACCATTTGTTAATAACTTTATTACAGGAGCTCAACAATACTTCCCCCCATCGATGACAATACCTGAAACTAACTTCTTTGGTAATAATACTGGCTTTACGAGCGATTCTCTGCAGACGCAAACAGTGTATTCCTCTGATTACAAGCCATTTGCCAGCGAGGGCAATCATTTCAACCACTTTCCCAATGGCATAGACATCGGCTTGGCCGCCGAGTCCTGTCCCATCTACGGTCCAGTTGGAACCGCTGGCCTGGCTGAGATGAGCACCGGTGGCCAGGTCTATGGCATGGGCGGTGTCTGTGAAATGAATATGAACTCCTACCCTCTTAGTCAAATGAGGTAAGTCATTTAAAGTAATTCATTTAAGTCCATTCGTTTAATTTTTTTTGATTTACATATTATTCAACCAAGTCAAAAATAATTCATTTTATTTCTGAGCAGTAAAATTATAAAGTTAAATACTTTTTTGCATTACAGTTACTCAAATCCATATAGCTACGAGATGCCTGTATCCCAGCCCAGCTATAATCATGCGACAAATATGGCAATGAATGGTAGAAGTCCAAGTAGGTGTAAAGATTTTTTTTATTTATTATTATTTAATCTTTATTTTTATCTGCAGTGTAATCTCACCGAAGAATCAAAAAAAGCTTGCTTGTGGAAAAAAAAAATATATGCGTGTTGAACAATTTTATTAAAAATAAAACCACAACTAAGAAAACAGTTTTTTGATTCATATGCTTTATAGACAATAAAATAAAAATATGTAATTTAGTTGAAAATAACATTGACAACAAATAATAATAGTTTAAAGCATGAACCATTAAATAAAAATATTAATAATTTTTTTTTAAGTGGCATTCGTTTCATATTATGACCATTATTTTTTGTATTTCAACCGCATTATGATTACTGAAAAGGAAAAGGACTTTATCGAGTCATAGGTTTACAATCCCATTTGCTTAAAATCTTGCATTCAGAGCCATTAACCTCCGTAGTAATGACTCACTCACTACCCAGAACCTGAACTTCGCATGGCATGCACTTTAAGTCAAAGCTAATTACAGTGAGCTAGTCTATTGATTTTAGCAGGAAAGTACACTAAGCCGTGAAGGAAGGAACCCTCGCATTGAACAAACAAACGGGCGACATCAGTGACCCAGTTTTCGTGCAAAAACCAAGTCGGAAAAGTGGAAAAGTCGGAAAAAGGGCCAGGCAAACAACGCCCCCAAATGCGAAAAGCCTGTATGTGGAGCGAAAGTGAAACGCAATATGGCCACAAACGAAGAATCGGACAGATTCTTGGGATGAGTTGGGCATTTCAGTAACTATTTCTATCCAGGAAAAGGAAAATCAAATATCAAAGTGCCGACAATGAAAGCTTTGCCCGGTTAATTGTTTGATGTTAAAGACCAAGGCAAAATTAAGTTAAGTGAAGTTGAGCAAAGCCTACTTGAGATTCTCGGATTGACATTTACTGCCGACTTTTCATTAATCTTATGACTCAGTGCCCCATCTCCAAATTGAAGAAGTTAAAACTATTCTCTCCGCCGAAAAAAACTTGTGTCAACACCCACAAAACCACAGGAGGTTGTCGAGGGCCCACAAACAAAACGCTAAAGAAAGAATTTTCCAATGATTTATTTTACGAGGCAACACCTTAAATTTGTAGAAAAGAGAAGTCATGAGTTTGTAACTCCTTCGGTGCCTCGAATATGATTAATTGCCCTAAACGAAATTTGTTTCTGACCAGCGGTTGAACACAATTGCGCTTCATTATCAGCATTTTGGCCAGTGACCATCAGCGGCAGTCAATTACCGGTCGACAGTCTCGTTTCTACTTTTCGATACTACCTACCAATCTGACCACACTGCGAGAAAACAGCCGGCACTATTATATTTATTTTAAAAACAATAAAATTGATTTACTTTGTTTAAATAACATTTTCTGTGACTTTCAAAGTGTGTATTAAGCCTAAAAATTTATTAGAACAGATATCGATATAGAAAATAATCTTTTTTTGTATTTAAAATTATATAATGTAATTTCCAATTTTCCTGTCATTTTTTGCAATGTAATAAATGTTTGTGTTAAAAATTCTGAAAGTAAAATATATATTAAATGTCATCGATTTATTTTCTGTGTGCATTCCTCAGCTATTGCCCGGGTGTTGTTGTCAATGTCCTGCTGCGCTATTATTTGTCTTGTGTGTGAGACTCCGACTCGGTATAAATTGGTTTACGCCACTTTTGGGTCATTAACGAAATTGAAAATAGAGACGGACACAAGGAGAGTATTTCGTGTGGAGGGAGTTGTGGAAGAACTCGAAAAACGGAGACCACCGAACTGCTATTAAGTCCGTGCCACCTATTTTGGTAGTTGGCCAATGCCAATCATTAGACACCGACGGTGCTTGAACTGTCGGGAGTCTTTGGAATGTATATGTATATTCCACGCCCTGGGTGATATGAAGTATATGGTGGGCTTAACTGCGATTTATCAGATCAATGATGGTAATATATAAGGCTTGAGTATAACCAAAAGAAAGCCAAAGTTCGACTAAGACATTCTAACCAAATCAACTGAGTTTGGTAAAAAAAAGCTATTGGAAATGAATATTAGGGATATTGAATAGCCAGATTTGTCATATCATTGTTTGTAATTTTAAGAACAAACCAGCACAACAGGAAAATTTAAAAAACAAAATGTGATAAAAAATACTTCAAAACGATATAATATACATGTAATAAAACTGCCTTAAAATATCATGATAAGTATTATACAATCCACATAACCCTTTTCCAAGTCGACAACTCAATCAAAATCGGTTAAAGGATAAATCGCACAAAGAAAATTATCTCCGCCACGAGAGCGGCTCACTTCTAGCCCAGGGATAAACGAATGTAATTTAATCAAGGGCACGACTTCAAGTAGGTAGCCAGCAAATGTCCAGGCAAGACAATAAAGGAAGCGAAAAGGGATCACATTGAAAAAAGGAGAAATCAAAGCGTAACAAATTCGCCGAGCAGGACTTTCACCCGGGAAAAGAAAGGCGAGTAGAGGACACGGATTAAAAGGCAGGCACGTGACTTCTGAGCCACAGTCCTTTTGTTTGGATCGAAAGCCGATTATGCCCAGGGTAGCGCAGAGGCATTTGCACTTCATTATTATGAGTTATGATGGAACGCAGCCTGGTCAAGCTGGTACTCGCACAATTATGTCACCCCGGGCCAAACTTATTATTACTATAGTTCCCTTCCATGCAAATCGATTTGTTGTCTACTCCATCCGTCGATATTTCTTTTGACATCTGAAGGGTGTGACCAATTTGCATCGGCGAACCGGACACGCGTCGCAATCAGATCAAAGGGAGGGGAACTTCATAGTTGAGATATCTCCTATGCAAATGGTTGAAATCAGTAAATTAGCTTGGACATAGGTCAATCGTTTCCACTTAGTCAAATGTCCCATCGAACTCGACTGCCTGCTTAGCCTGGGAACATTTATCCCGGATCGAAATGCGATTTTTTATGCTTCTCACTTCCCCGATTGGAAAAGATTTTTGTTACTGTTGACAATTCTTAATTGAACTATGTATTGGAATAAAAATACATAAAACAAACACACGAAACTAGAATTTAAGGACACAAACATCCTAGCCATCTTAAAAATTTTATTTTTGTAATATTAACAAATTATATTATCCCAAAATTATCTTCACAGTGTAGGAAGGTGATAAAATATTTTAAGAAACTTTGTTTTGATGGCTTCTTATTCATAAAAATTGTTCCTACATTTACCAAATATCAAAGACAAATCATTTCTACAATACACAATAAAATTCGTTCTTACTTTGGATAATTTATTTTTCTTTATAGCATTTTAACTATTCTGTTTTTACCAAAATCATTTTGTTTTGACGATAAATGTCTGTAGGTATTAAAAAATGTTTTTCTACCTAAATGTGTCTTTCAAACAATACAAGAACTATGCTACTTCTGTTCTCCGATCCGGATGTGAAATGTTTAATCCCCTTTCTCACGGTTATCAGCTTGCAAAACTCTTTTAACGCACTTCCACTACATAAATTCTCTCGGATTCGCACTCGAAACATTGGCAATGGATATTGAACCCTTTGCTAAGTGGCAAACATCAAGGGAGCATTGCTGGGCGTTGCAAATGACGACAAATTACACACACCAACTGCTGGGCCTGTGTCTTCCGTCGGGTATTTACAAGAAATTTGCAAACAATATTGATTTCGAAGCGATCAAAATAAAAATTAATCAATGCACTTAAAAATTTCAAAAAAACACACATAAAGAAGCAAACTCAATGACGTGGAAAAGGGAAAGGGAAAGGGAGCTGGAGGGAAACCCCTTTTTTTTTTGTTCTGAGCAACCCCTCGGCTGACTTTAAAGTGCTCGAGGAAGGAACTTAACTAATTTATAACTTATGACTGCACGGCCATGGACAATTTTCCATGCCACTACAAAGGAGAGCAAAAGCCAAAATTTGACATGAGTAGCGGTCGCTTAACCGAAACCATGTGTAAACCCTTCTTTAAAATAAAAAATGTTCAGAGTAAACCCCTTCAGCCGGGACATGTGAGTGTGCACATGTCAGCAAGCGAATTAATCGAAGAGAAATGATTTATTTAGCGCTCGGACCGACGAATCGCATCGGTGACCCAGGGTAAAGGGTTACAATCCAAATCCTATGCAATGCAACCCCTCGCGCAATTTCATTTCGCACCCAAATCAAATTTAAACTGTTTTCAAAACTGCACCTCTTGGCTCATTGATGGGCATTTATCGGTCCAGAGGGTTGCTGCTGCATTTTGGGTTTATTTCTTTCGCTTTCCTCGCTGTGAGAACTGCAATTTTTTATCCGTAAATTCACACTGCAATTTTTATACATTCTCCATTGAGGGATTTTTTTTTGTTGTGAGTTTCTTCCTTCAAAATATTTACGACTTTTGATTTGTAACGCCATTTCTTGGCGATTTGATTGATTCGAGTGCGGATGGATGTTGTGATGCATTCAATTTGCTGCAAAAATTACAATTAATAAAAAAACAGTATGCCGTAAAAACCATAAAATCATTTTTACAAGGCTAGAATGTGGGAATTTTCTGAACGCTTGAAAAAGGGAAAAAAGTTGGGGTTTCTCTACTTTATTAATAGAACAAATTGGAAATTGGTGGTTTAGCATTTTAACTTTAAAGGATTTTATCTCACACCAACATAGATTATTATAAATTTTAAATCTCTATTGAAAGAGCTTAAAATGTTTTAAAACATATTTTGTTAGTATAAGTTAAAAAGGTTCTCCTTATTATAAAAAGATTATACAAATAAGTATCATTTTAATATTGACATATATTATTATTTCTCTAGCTAAGTATCAAGATCAAATTTATATGGAATTTATAAATTTAATTTTTTAAGGAACTACAAACAAATATAGATAACCCGAAACAGTAGCTCTTTGGTTAGTTTTTCAGAAACACCCAGAACTAAATTGTAACGAGAGAAAGCGAGCAAAATGTCGTCACCGAAGCTGGACAGCAAGGTGTTCCAGAACCTAAAGGACGTGGCCCACAAATTGCGCATCCACTCGATCACCTCGACGCAGGCGGCCAAGTCGGGTCATCCGACGTCGTGTTCCTCGCTGGCGGAGATTATGACGGTGCTGTTCTTCCAGCAGATGCGCCTAAATCTGAAGCATCCTCGCGATCCTTCCAGCGATCGATTGGTCTTATCCAAGGGACATGCCGCTCCCATTCTGTATGCCGCATGGGCGGAGGCAGGACTCTTTCCGGTGGAGGAGCTGCTCAATCTGCGCAAGGTGGACAGCGACCTGGAGGGCCATCCCACTCCACGGCTCAGTTTCGTCGATGTGGGCACCGGATCCTTGGGACAGGGCATGGCCGTGGCCGCCGGAATGGCCTATGTGGGCAAGTACCTGGACAAGGCCGAATATCGCACCTATGTGATCCTCGGAGATGGCGAATCTGGAGAGGGAGCCGTGTGGGAAGCCCTCCATTTTGCCGGTCACTATTGCCTGGACAACCTGTGCGTCATCTTCGATTTGAACAAGCTGATGTGCTCCAATAGTGTCGGTGAAATGGAGGTCTACCGGGAGAGATTGGATGCCTTTGGCTTCAATGCCCTGGTTTTGAACGGCCACGACATCGATGAACTAGTCAAGGCGTTTCACAATGCGGCCAGTACCAAGGGCAAGCCCACGGCTCTGTTGGCCAGGACCGTGAAGGGAAAGGACTTTCTGGGGGTCGAAGGAATCGAAGAAATGCACGCACAGCCATTGGGAAAAAAGGCTGAGGCAGCTATTAAGAACTTACAGGTAGGGTTTTGCCATTTTGCTACAAGAGTTTAAAATGCACAGGAATTCACTATATTTTCTTACAAATTCTGGTAAGCTTTCAATGCTTGGACTCTGGTCATTTTTCATTGACCAGAACTTATCATATTTCTCTTTAAAAACGATGTTTTAACATAAGTTTATTCAAAAACGAATCCATTCTATTCGAGCAAAGCATTTATTTCTGTTGACTCTTTTTGATACTGTTTAGATGAATTTCATAAAGAATTTATTTCACTTATCTTGGTCTGCTATCTGCAAAATTAAATATTTGATTACAATTAATTTGAAAAATACCTAGATTATACCTTAATAGTATTGTATTTGGCATAAGCCGTAGGCTAGAACCTAGTAATTTTCTTTTCGTCATGTAATTTTGAAAATGTAATTCCTCCTGCAGATGATGATCGCCAATCCGAATGTGCATCTGTCGCCCAAGAAGATAGGAAAATGCGGCCACGCACCCGATGTGGATATCAACAACATAATGCTGTGCAATCCGCCCAATTATCGGCTGGGGGATTCGGTGGCCACTCGTTATGCGTATGGCACTGCACTGGCCAAAATCGCGGCGGATAATTGCCGGGTGATTGCTCTCGATGGCGACACGAAGAACTCCACGTATGCGGATAAGATGAAGAATGCATTTCCGGAGCGATTCATTGAGTGCTTCATAGCGCAGCAGAATCTGGTGGGCGTGGCCGTGGGCGCCACCTGTCGACGTCGCACGGTGGCCTTTGTCTCAACATATGCCGCCTTCTTCACGCGGGCCTTCGATCAGATCCGCATGGGAGCCATTTCACACACGAACGTGAACTTCGTGGGCTCCCACTGCGGCTGCAGTGTGGGCGAGGATGGACCCTCGCAGATGGGACTGGAGGACATGGCCATGTTCCGGAGTATTCCCGGCAGCACGGTCTTCTATCCCACGGATGCAGTCAGCACGGAACGGGCGGTGGAACTGGCGGCCAACACGAAGGGCGTGTGCTTCATTCGGACCACATATCCGAACACCACTGTGATCTACAACAATGATGAAGTTTTTGCCGTGGGACTGGCCAAGGTGGTGCGACAGAAGCCATCGGATGAGGTTCTGTTGATTGGAGCCGGGGTCACACTGTACGAGTGCTTGGCCGCCGCCGAGCGATTGGAGGAGGAGTGCATCACTGCCCGCGTAATCGACCCCTTCACAGTGAAGCCCCTCGATGTGCGACTAATTGTGAAGCACGGAAAGCTCTGTCGGGGCCGAATTGTTGTGGTGGAGGACCACTATCAGCAGGGCGGGCTGGGCGAGGCAGTGCTCAGTGCCCTGGCCGACTACCGGAACTTTGTGGTCAAGCATCTCTATGTGCCCACTGTACCCAGATCGGGTCCTCCCGCCGTTCTGCTGGACATGTACGGAATCTCCTCCAGAAGTATCTTCAAAGCCAGTCTTGCCATCATGAAGAAGTGAAGGCAAATGCACAAAAATGTGAGACATCCTAATGCTTGGTGCACGACCCAAAATTTGTGGTACCTAAATGATAAATTCAATATGTAATATTAATTTTTTTTAAATTTGACTAAATTTTTACGGAGTTTTATAACTAGGAAATAAAAACCTACTCCATTTTGTCATCAAAATACTTTTTCATAATTAACTCAACTAGTTTGTAGTTTGGCCAATTTAACCCTTTCCTAGTGTGACATGCCTCTGTCTGATTAATGTTGGCCCTTGACTTGCGGCATGATTGTGTTCTCTACCTGAACTAATAAGCGTGCAACGTGAAATGCGCGACATAACACCGAATTTCAAAGAGAAATAGCATTTGGCGAAACTCAATTGGATGGAACTAATTTTAGGGACTTTACAGTGAGGATCAATGGCAGCGTTGGCGTCGGCGTTGGTTTCGATTTCGATTGTGATTTTGACATATATATTTGGAGTAACCTTTTTCCAGAGGCGCAACGAATTGTTTTCGCCCCCTCTGACCTGGTGTGATTCATTTTTGGAAACAGAGTGTACGACGTTCTTTTCAGACTTTTAAAAGTGTAGATCACGTACTTTCGTACTTTGGAATATTGATAGCTAGCTAAGCTATTGGTCCTGCGGAAATAAACAATTATTACTTTGTTTATAAACTGTAAATTAATTTATGTTTGATGTTTGATGCATTTTGTAATGCATTTTAATTTGAACAGTAAACTAACTTTCTAAAAAAAAAAGAAATAAAAATATAAATATAAAATATAATAATTGAAAACGCCAAGAAAAGGATATCCCGTGGTCGAGTCTCTCTTCAGGGTCTTACTACTGATCCTTTGTCTGACCAAGGGCCACTTTAAGTTATCCGTAATGACATCCGTTGCCATTTAATGTGGCATTCATCCATTTATTCATCTGCCTCAGCAAAGGCCCATTTATTGTTTTTCGCTTCCTAATCAGTACTTTATATTGTTTGTTGGCTTGGGCCAGAAGGACAACAGGATGTGGGTCTGTGTGTGGTTAAGGGTTGGCCAAGTGGACAAAGTGTCCCTTCCGATTCGATCAAAATTTACGATAAATGCTTTAAAAATTCTATACACCTCAAATGCACAATGGGCGCACAGATAGTGGAGAAGTTTTTCAATTTCTGTTAAGTGAGCATGGCCAACTAGATTGGTTAAAGATCATAAATTCAACAACATGAAAATAGATTAGATGACATCATATGTGGAGTGCCTTTTGTTCCTTCCACACATGTGAAGGAGTTGGAAGTGTGATTTGGGGGTAGATTTATGAAGGGAACGACTGCACCTGCTCGAAAGTCTCCCCCTTCCAAAAAAAAACATATATCATTTAATGAGGGAAATCTGTGCCGCAGAATTTGTAAGCAATTATTTGTGGCGAAAAAAGAGCACAGAAAACAATCATCAATCTCTGTCCGCAACTGTTAAAAGCACATGCATTTAAATTAGACATTTAAGCCAGTCTCCCACGCCAGAAAACAGAAACCCCAAAATTTAAATAAAATCATGTAAGTAATGCGACTTGGAAGTACCCAGTGAATAATGAATATTTAAGTTAACTATATTATATCTTAACTGGTATTATTAATTATTATAAAACTTTTATTAAAAATTTAAATTTGACGAGAAGTCAAATTGTTAAAAAATATCAAGTAAGTAATGCGAAACTACCCAGAGAACAATGTATTTTTAAAAAAATAAATTATTTTTTTAATTGTTAGTAGATAAAATGATAACATTACCTTATTAAAACTATATACCCCAAACACTTTTAAACATGGGGTATAACAAGAGAAGTGTCAAAAGCAAAAGCTGAACAGGAGTTACGTCCGGGAAATGCTTAATAGGATTTTTACAATTTTTACTATTTTCCTGTGGCAGCTACTGGTTACCAGTCGGTAGTCCCCCTTTCACTTCACTCTCTCTCGCTTTCTCCTCTGTCTTTTTTTTTTAATTTTCCAAATATTTTGCTTTTTGCCGCGTGGAAAAAGGGGTTAGAAAAATGCCAAAAGAGCGCACCCCTGTGGCGCAATGGAAATTCTTTTACACTTTTGTTTTCCTTTTTCCTTGGCTGTTGTTACTCACAGGATATGGTTATTCTTGTTCCTGTTGTTAGGGTTTCATGCACCGCATAACATTAAAATTCAGATTTTGATTGATCATCCTGGTTGAAGCGAATTAGAGAGTTTGAGTTTGGCGTAGATGTATTGAGTGTTGGGATTTTATATGAAGGGTGTGAGAAGAAGGTATTTTTAAAGGTCGGGGATATGTGTCCGCAGTTTGTTAAAGCGATGTCCTACAATGTTGTCAATAGCTCTGTATTAAATGGTTGAACTTCAAAAAATTGTTTTTTAACTAAATATTTAACCTTTTGGTTATTTTCTGATTTTATTCTTTTTAAAAGGTAAGTGTTTGAATTTTTTGTTTTATTTAAGTCAAAGAAAAATATTCATTGAAGCAAATTGCTAACTCTTTCGACTGCATTTGCATAAACCTACAAATGCATTCTATGAATCTTTAATTGCGCCACATCAGCCATGGGTAAACATTTATTTCCCTTGCCAAATCAAGTTTAAAATATTTATTCAAATGTTGATTCCTTGGAAGACACATTTAGAGGGCGTCACGCTAGCCAAACTTTCCCAGGAAAATTTACAAACCTTTCCCCACCTTCTTCCCTGCTTTCTTTTTTGGCTTTCACACAACCGATGAACCAACGAACCACTTAAATATGCATGAAACGGTGCGATATAGCTGGCTGCAAAAATTCGATTAACAACAAATGCATATTGATGGAATAATTGAGCAATTCTAATGAACCACAATACCAGAAAGGCCGCCATAAAAAAAAGCCAAACAAATTGCAATTGCCAATGGATGGAAGTTTTTCTAAGGAACCACAATATTTGCATTTGATTGACAACAAAGTTAATTGAGTGTGAGCCAAGCATTTGCATAGCGTCGAGTAAAAACAAACATTTATTATATTAAACTATGATTTTTTTAAGCGTTACCCAGTAACCCTTTGGGTGGTTTTGGGGGGTAGAATCATTAATTCGCCTGACAGGGTTGAGGTGAGGTGACTGATGATGGGGTGTTGAGTCGAGGCGATTCGAGGCAAGGTGAGAGATCTCCCAGGCCTAAATGTCATTTCGATGAATTTATAATTGGAAATTATTTGAATTTTTCTATTCGGGATTTACTTTTTTTTCCCCGTTTGCTGGGAAAATTAGCATATTTTTTCGCTCTCTTTGCCAGATCCTTTGTGTGTGTATGTGATTTAATTAATGATCTTATGCAAAGTTCGTCTTCGTGTCTGCGATATTTTGCATACATGTGTTGGCAGCTAACTGCCGATCATTAATCAGGTCGCCTAAGTAGCTGCTTGAACTCATTAACCCTTTTGTTCACCCAGACAGCCCGGCGAAATGGCAACAAAAGTTTTGTCTTATATAAATATTTGCATTGCCGCCAACCATGAGAACGGAATTTCCTTGCAGCGCAATAGATGAACACAAAAAGAATCCGAAAAAACAGATATCCTTATTAATGATCTTGCAGATGTCACAGGAATAGAAACCTTTTTCCGCACTTTTAATTAGAGGAAACCTGACTGCTAACAACCCCGAACTTTAGAAATAAACTTTTTCCAAAAACCCCAACCCGCTGTGAAGTCTTTCCCATATATCAAATATTCCTTATTTGCCTCCTATCAAGATGCCCATTAAGTCAATAAGTGGACTCTAATATTATGCCATATTTCGGCAATTGCTAAAAAAAAAGAAAATCGAAACGAAAAACAAAGTTTGGCCAAAAGTGCTGCCGCGGCAGACGTGGAAAACTGCCGGCGATAAACACGAATAAAACATTTGAGGTACATTATGTCAGGCCTAAGAATTATTGTCACAGATTGTTTTCCCCAGATAAATCCTGAGTTATGGGGGCAAACGCAGCGGGTAATAAAAAACACTATAGAAAGCAAAGAATATGACAAAAAATATCTTAGTTATGGGGGTTGCAGATTGCAAAACATTTCGTGTTGGGAAAGTTCGCAAGTCACGTAAAAAATTTCACATATTCGAAAGCATTTAAATTTTTATTGACTAAAGATAAAACTTGTTTTCGGTCAGGCGTTACCATTTGTTTTGAGTTTTGTTTTACAATAAATTGTAAATAAATTAATGTGGTCGGTATAACCGATTTATTTCAAATTAATTCTAACTGATACATCTTTTTGAAATTAAATATATTGGCAGAATGTCTTAGAAAAATTTTTTTTTTTATCAATTAGAAAATAACATGAACTTCTTTTCGTTTTTACAAGGAACTCTTTCATTTTAATCTCAAAAGCCTTGCTACCAAAACTCTCGTCTTCCCCTTTTATTTCATAATTAATAAGAACGAATTGATATGTTTCTTTTAAAAAAACAAATGCAATGTATTATGCGGGTAGATAAACAGTTAACTTAAGCTTAACCCCATCAAGCCGCAAATTAGACCTAGGGCGCAAAGTCACGCGAAATGGAAAAAAATAACGAATTGGGGGGATAAATCAAATAATTAATTGTTTCGTAATTCGGTTGTGTGTCCAAACATCATTAATATCTATAAGATTTGACGAGGCCCAGAGCTACCGCAGAGATCTTGTTGGCAATAACCCACCACTTTGACTTCTGGGACCCGCATAAAGCCTTCGGGGCTTGGGTTTCGCAGCCAATTTCAATTAAACGCGCGGATTAAAACAGAGAAACCGAGTTCACGGCGACTTTCGCACTTTGTCGTCTCTCCGACAAATTGGGATAAAATATATATACATAATGGCATGCATGAATCATTAATAAAAATCATAATAAAGGCGTGGCGAATGACGTCACGTTTTTGTGATTAGCTCCGTTGAGTAACCAAAGGATTGTTGTGGGTTGCTTGGGTGAAAATGTTCTTAATTAGTTTTTTCCTCATTTCTTTCCATCTAATGCATTTTGATGATCTGACAGTCGGACGTCTTACGCTCGAATGAATTTTTGGCTTGAAGAAAAACGAAGGAAGTGTGGCCAATTTGATTAATTGCTGAATTCGGATCTAGTGTGTGTAGGATATTAATAAATTTTGGACAAGTATGAATTTGTCAATAAGAA